CATGTGCGTGATCAGTGCTATGCGCAGTGTTCCGTCGCCATTGGCGATTGCTAGATACGAGCACTTTTTGACACCAACAGATTTTTTGTGTGCTCACCACCAATCCACATATAGATTAAAAGGTTTCGTATTTAGTGTTTATTTACCGATACAAGATTGGTATTTGAGATGAGATGCTATTATTGGTTAAAGTTTTGTTTTTTTTTGCTTTTTTTGGTTAACTGATGGACGGCCCTCAACTGTTTCTTTTTTCCCTTACTGAAATTTCGAATGCGTTTGATTATTTGGAAGTAGCCAACCCACAACGAAGTTGCACAAACAATATATTTTTAAAGGAGATTGCTTTTTCATCGTGTACTGTTTAATGCATTCATAGCTTGCATGTCGGCAGCTTTTTAATTAAACAAAACAACGAGGTCAGGTCCACATTTGTTCGAAGATCTGATTATGTAGTCTTAAAAGTACTTATACATGATGCAGAAGAAAAAAAACGTCCATATATGCTATTATCTTCAATGAATCCCTACCGGTGCGTGCAGCTGTGATAGCTGGTCATGATCGGGGTACCGTATCTCGGAAGGTGTGAACATTCGGCCCGAATGTTTCGGGTATGGGTTTGCGTTGTAAGCGAGCCTTTTACTTTGGAAGTAATTTGCTTTTACGGGTACGCGGTCTCAAAAGTTCATGGGGGTAGGAAGAATTTACTGCAAGTGGCACCTCTGAATCAGAGTCTAATAACAGCTTCTCCTCACAACACATGTATTAATGATGCTGGTATTCTGCGTATTGAATAAAACATCTGTATTACCGTTCCCCATCTTATGATTGCTCAAAAGCTCTTCCTGGCAGGAGGCTCATGCTCGTGGAAGGGGATCGAAAAAGAGATTTGCTGTTCACCAATCGATCCACTGGAAGCTCCCTCTCATTTTATCATTCTCCCTAAAGACGTTGGGATACTCAGCATAACTGTAATCATGCGTCATTGCTTAGTTTTAGTGGCGGCTGTCGCCCTTGTGGTTAGTATTGACGCGGCCTCAACAGCGGCGACATCTAAGATGGCTACACCCGATATCCTAGCATTTGCTGACCCGTACACTGAAGCCCTGCACGATGTACCTGGGGTGAGGCTCCTGAGAGCGCACAAACTCACTGATAACGAAGAGAGAACGACGGGTGCTGCCGCTATTGAGAGCATGGTCAAGTCGACAATCACCACCGAACAACTCGAGGCTTGGCTTAAGAGGGGGGACACTGTAGACGACGTCTTCAAAGCACTGCACCTTCAGAAGGCAGGAGACGCTCTTCTTGACAACCCCCAGCTGTGTGTTTTGATTAACTACATGAACCGCTTTAACACAGCGAATCCAACGAAGAAGACGAATGTGGTCGCGGCGTTGACAGCTCACTACGGAGATCAATGTTTGACCAAGATAATCGAAGCAGCAACGAAGAGCCCGACTAGTTCGAAGATGGCTAAACACCTCCAGACCGAGCAGGTCCAGCGTTGGCTGACTGACAAGAAAACTCCAGAGGACGTCTTTGGGCTCTTAAAGCTGAACAAGCTCTGGCCATTGTCCTGGATATCGTCTGACCTTTTCAACAAGCCTGGACTTACCACTTGGATCCGATATCTGGATGATTTCAACGAGGCGAATCCCGAACAGAAGACGACTCTTCTCTCCATTTTATCGGCTCGGTACAGCGACAAAACGCTAGTGAATATGCTGATCGAGGCGAACAACGTTCGTAGTACGAGCACCATTGCGAAACGTATTCAGGCTGAGCAGACACGCCTTTGGCTGGACAACAAAGTAGCTCCGGCCGACATCTTCAAAACGCTAAATCTTAACAAGGCAGGAGACAACATTTTCGAGAACCCATTATTCTCTGCGTGGATCAATTATGCGGACGACTTTCACTTGATGCATAGTGATACACAACTCGCAACCATGCCCACACTGCTGACGCACTACAATGATAGGAAGTTGTCAAGTATGATCATGGCGGCGGTGGAGATCCCAAGTACGAAAACACTCGCTGAGCGAGTGCAATCAGAGCTGCAACGGACCTGGCTCTTCCGTAGAGATACCCCGGACGACGTTTTTCACCTGCTCAAACTCAGAACTAACAAGCTGCTTGAGAATCCACTTTTCCCCGTCTGGACCAAGTACGTGGCTTATTACAACAGTATGAACTTCAAGACGAAGTATGATCTCATCGCGACGTTGACTTACTACTATGGTGGAGATAGAGAACTCACAAAGATGCTCATGGCTGCGGTGAAGGAACCAAATACCAACAAATTGGCTACGGAGTTGCAGGACTTGCAGATTGCCCGATGGATATCGAAAAAGTTCAGCCCAGCCCAGGTTTCCACATTTCTGGGGGCGGATAATGCGAGTAGGATTCTTTACAAGCGATACGTTGCGACCTACAATGGCCAATACTAGGCCAACACTTGAAATGGTTAAAAGGCGTAAATGAGCAAAAAATCAATTTACCGCAGCGCTCTCGGTTTCTCGATGCATCTGCTTCGGCCAACAGCTTGTGGATTCGATTGGTATTACAGGTACGCTCGACACCCAACCTTGCTAAATAATAATTTGTAAATCTTCACTTAATCGCTATACAGTACAACCACCTCACAACGTCTGATTTATGTGGTGTATTGCGCTTCAATGCAGAGAAGCTTTTATTCGCCCAGTTTAACCATCGTTGAGCACCACTCACCGTGCACAAATGGCTCGATCAAACCGCCCAATTCAAATATCAACAACGCCTTCGGCAACCGCAAGAGAGCCTTCCGACGTGATAATCTGACGCAGCAACTTCAGTCGCAATATTCTCAACGTTAGAGGGGGAACATCACGTAGGAAAACCAATAAGTGTAGAGAAAAAGTAATTTGAAAGATATTTGAAAGACACAATCATTATGATAAGGCACTGGAGACATAAAGTCCAGTATACAAGCTATACCCATGGGTCTACACTAAGTTTTAATTCCAACTTTTCTTTCAAAATTTATAATTTGAGATTGTGTTCTTAATATTGCTTTTATTAATCAATTAGTAAGACATAAATTGTTTTATTAGATTATAAAATAATTGGGCTGTAGTGCAAGGAAAAGGAATATTTTTGAAATCTGCATTTAACCACTAAATTAATTGTCTTATTTTAAATTGGCCCATGCGAGTTTTTCTTTAAAGAAAACAACCTTAAATCACAGCACGAATTTAGCTTTTCGAAAATAGAGTAAAGCTAAGAAATTACTCTATCTTCGGTCACCCACTAAAAATATTTGAATCAATAGACCCCAGTCAATAATTGGATAATAACGTGAACATAAATGCATGAGGTTATTAATTATTTTTTGTAGATGTCTACATGCTCTCGACGCTCTACCACGAAAGATCCTTAGAAGCGCCTGCTACTGCCGACGCCGGGGCTTCCTCCTTGCTAGAGCAACCACCGCCGCTGCCACAGCTTCCCTTGTCGGCCGCCGGGTCCTGCACTGCCACACGGAAGAGACGGTTGCCGAACTTCTTGTACAGCGGCATAATGCCACCGCCAGCAAGCAGACGCTCCTCGAAGAGCGACATGTTGAAGCGGAAAGTCTCTCCACCCACCTCAATTGTGCGTCCAGTCATGTTGACCGTGATGTCCGCATTCTCCTTGGCCAATTCATAGAAGCGGTCGTCGTCCAACTGAATGCCCAGCAGACTGAAGTTCTGGTAGTTGCGCGAGAAAATGTAGCCGAACGAGCGAGCGATCAGAGCCTGGACGCCGGCGCCCTTCATAGCCGTCACAGCCTGTTCACGCGACGAACCGCAGCCGAAGCCGTGGCCAGCAACCACCACGTTCTGGCCCTGCTTGACCTTGTCGCGGAAGTCCGGGTTCGTGTGCAGGAACGCGACCTTGCCCAGAGCCTCCATGTCGTTCTCGCACAAGAACTCACCGGGCAGAATAGCGTCCGTGTCAATGTTGTCGCCGAACACCTGCACGCGGCCCTTAATGGAGCCCGAGAACGTCTCGAGCGACGCAGCAGCCTCCGCGTCAGCGTTGCCGGTGTCCTCAGCCGAAGCAACAGGGAGCTCCGGAGCAGGCTCAGAGACCGTGATGGGAACAGAAGGCTGCTTGGGCACTGCCGAGTTGAACTTCTCCACGTCAATGAGCTTCAGGAACGGACGCGGGTCAGTCACCTCCATCGTGAAGCTCGAGGCAGCTACAGTGATGGCAGACGCGAGGTTAGCAATGGAGCCCTTGCCCATACGGTTACGGTAGTTGCGGTTCTGCGAGCTGAGCCACACCTCGTTCTCTCCAGCGACGTCAGCAGCGATACCCAGACAGAAACTGCAGCCAGGAGCGCCCACAATGAAGCCAGCCTTCTCGTACACGTCGATAAGACCGTGTTTCTTGAGGTTGTCGACGATAATCTGACTACCAGGAGTCACACGACGCTGGCCGTGCGCCACGGGCTTCATGCCCTGCTTCAGACAGGCCTCAAGCACCAGAGCACCCAGCACCAGATCTTCTTCAGCAGTAGTACAGGCTCCGATGAAACAGCCGTCCAGCTTCATGCCCACGACTTCAGACACGGGCTTGACGTTGTCAGGCGACGGGAACAGGGCCACCTGAGGCTCCAGGTTGTTCAGGTCGATCTGGAACTTCTCAGCGTACTGCGCGTCCTCGTCAGCACGGAAGTAGATAGCGTCCTGGTTGTGGTCCGGACGCTTGGAGATGTACGCAGCCGTGCGCTCGTCAGCGGGGAAGACACCAGCGATACCGCCGAATTCAGCCGTCATGTTACTGATAGCGAAGCGAGCGTCGCACGAGAGCGCCGAGATGTTGCCACCCCACTCCACACAGCGACCAATAGCGACCGTGTTGCACTTCAGCTGGCCCAGAGTGTACAGCATGACATCCTTACCACCCATGCCCATTGGCGGCGTGCCCACAAATTCAACCAGCACCGTCTCGGGCACCTTAATCCACGTCTCACCCGTCACAAGCGGCATAACGACGTCAGCAGCGCCCAAACCAATAGCGAAGGCACCCAGACCACCAGTACTGCACGAGTGCGAGTCGGCACCAACCACGATCTGGCCAGGCTGCGCTCGCTGGCGGTAGAACTCGGTGTGGAGGATGGTGGTGTTGGGCGGCTGGAAGTTGGTGAGCTGCGCCTCCTTAGCGAAGTCCTCAGACGCCTTGATCATCATCTGCTGACGCGGCTGGTGGTTCACACGCGGGTCCACAGTGTGGTCCACAGCCAACCAGAAGCGGTCATTGCGCCAAATGCGCGGACGGCCCATGTCCTGGTACGTCTTGTCCATCGACTTCCACGTGATCTCACAGGCCAGCGTCCACTGCGCTTTGACGCACAGCATCTGGCCGGGCGACACCTCGGGCTTAGTCAGACCCACGGCCCAGTGTGTGAGAATCTTCTCCGGCAACGTAAGCGGCCGGCGCGCAGGTTTCGTCGAGTCAGCGGAAGCGGTCGCCATTATGAGATGATGTGCGCTTCAGGAGGAGAATGCGGAAGTGAGCGTTTGCAGTTGAGGTGGCATTCCGGGGGTGGGGCAGCGGAAAGACGCGCACTGATGAATAGAATGACATGACGGAGAGTGGGTATACGGATAAACAGTTGTGTTTGTATGGTTTACTCTTGCCTTAATGACGGGTGAGAGATTTGGTTATATCAGGATAAACAGAAAACGTTTGCGCAAACGGTATAAGTGTAGACGGGTTTAAGACTGAACCTGTCATAAGTGATTCGCGTTTGCTGCCACGTGGGTTGTGAAACTGTGGTTGTGCGCTGCACTGCGAACCCCACAACACACCGTAATCCTGAGTAATCTTTGTGGAGCACTGGCATTAGTATACTCAAAACCAAAAGCTACAGCGCGTAAATCGACAGCACGGGATGATGCAACAACCTGGACCGTGAAATCATTTTCTCGGGATTCGAGGCTGTACCACCAGCATTTTCGGGTGTTTGCGCAATTCGCAACCTTCGCGCAACCGTGAGCTCGAGCAACATTCTCTGACGCGCCCCAATGACGCGCTGCATTTATCATAGCTTGCAAACCTACTTACTTAAGAACTACACAGTCCACGTTAATAAGACTGTCTTATTAAGACATATTCAGCTCCACGCACCGACGATACAGTATTGTCTGTTTTTACAGGCGACGAGTACCGGTAAACGTCATATGATTACTCGTTTGAGCTGGTACATATAGGATCTAGGAACAACCCAGTTACACAAGGAAAAGAACGCATAATCATTATTTGGCAGTGAGTACCGTACCCGATGAGATCTACACACTATATTAAGATACTATAGTCTTTTGTCTCCAGGTCGAACGGGTACAGGTAGGACTGTATCCTATCGGAAGACTTTGCATTGAAAGCCATGTGAACGTCGTAAACAAGCACTATCTTATTCTTGAAGAGTTGATAGGCATGCTTTGCCTTGTGGTCCGAATACTTGCTCTGGCAAACTCCTCCTACCCTTGTTTAAATCTCTATTTTTTAAAACTTGAGCATTTCGTGTTAAGACGACGTCTTTAAGATACATGAAAGACGAAGAAGATTGTCCCGAATGGACCTCAGCGAAGAAACGCTGGGCAGGTTTGCTTTCGTCTTTTCACTCATGCAAACAGAATTGCTTTCAAAAAAATTTTTTTTTTAAATTGAGCCTGCCCCTCGAGACAAAAGTTTCAAGGTACCAGTCGAAAGCCATTTATGTCAATAATATCATATTTAAAAGTATTTTGTGTCATTGATACTTTTACCCTACTTTTAAAAAAAAAATCGTGCTCCGCCCGAAGAAGCTCTCAAATCTAGCAAAATTAAATACTACTTATGTTTCGGAGGCTTGGGGTTCCTTGCCGACGCATCTCCTGTGCCTGTTTCGTAGCCACAGCATCTGCACTGTCGAAGCTGCTGCAGTAGCCCCTTGGTAGTACAACTTGAAATCAGAGTTGGAAAATAAAATATGTTAGTATATTTTTGTTTCTAAGTTCCATAATATGGTAAAAAAAACTAATTTGACCAATTATTGCAATATATATTTGTCCGGCTGATGTTTTAACTTGGATTGTGTTGGTTATAAAGTGTTGGAAGCATATTAAAAATATTTTCAGTATTGAAAGGTAGATGATGCAATAACAAATTATTTCAAACAATAATACTTACTGTATTGATATTATTTTTCCAACCTCTGCTCGAGACCATGATAGCAACAAATTGGTCTGATTACCGAATCGCACATCAGCTTAACTTCGTCAAAAAGGCTAAGAAAAGTTTCCCTTAGATTGATGATTTTGACCAAATATATCATTTCAGCCGGAATAATTGTTTTGTGCAAACAATTAACATTATTTCTAAATCGGATATGGCAATTGTAGGAGTATTAATTGCTTGGGATTATACTTACCCTTTTGACTATAAATTCCCCATTTTTCAGTTCAGTGCCCATTATCCGCCGATCATCGTCAGTCATCGTTTGCAAGGGGAGCATTGGTGCCCTCGCTCATTCCCTTCAAGGCTTCCTGCGGCTCGTGCGCTATGAACGCGTTGCGTAAAACTACAGCAATCCTCCACCGCAACGTTGGACGGCGCTTCTCCTCCACGTTCGGTGTAGTCTTCGACGTCGATGGTGTGTTACTGCGTGGCAAAACTCCAATCCCAGGCGCTCGAGAGGTGCTGCTAGAGCTGGAAGCGACCAACACTCCGTTCGCCATCATGACGAACGGTGGTGGCTACCCTGAGGACAAGAAAGCTCGCCAGATCGAACAGATCTTGGGCGGTGGCGTGTCTGTCCCCACCGAACGCATGTGCATGAGTCACACGCCGATGCGCGAACTCGCACACAAACACCGTGACGAGCTGGTGCTGGCTGTCGGTAAGGACTGCGCTGAGATCCGCAAAGTTATGGCCAACTACGGCTTCAACCACGTGATCACTGTAGACCAATTACACCGCCATTTCCCCCCAATGTACCCGGACGTCAAGGTGCAAGACCCTCTGAACCACGACGGACGCTTCGACTCCCAGCCATTTGCGGCCATATTTGTGCTCATTGACCCCATATATTGGGGACGAGAGCTGCAGATTACCATGGACGTATTGTGCTCGCCCAATGGACTACTGGGCCAACGCACAGTGGAGGGAGATGGCAAGGGCGAACGCCAACACATCCCTCTTTACTCGGCGTGCTCGGATTTCCAGTATGTAGGAGAGTTCCACCTGCCACGCTACGGCGCAGGAGCGTTCCATGCAGTACTGGAGGATTTATTCACCCGTACGACGGGCCATAAACTGGAGAAAACGCTGTTCGGGAAGCCTCAACGCACGTCGTTCGAGTTTGCTGAGACGCTCATTGATGCACAACATGAAGACGTGGAACGCATTTACATGGTGGGGGACAACCCAAAGACGGATATTCGTGGGGCTAATGAAGCTGGTGGCAGGTGGAAGTCGGTGCTTACCCTCACGGGCATGCACGTTGGACCTGAGAACCACGAGGAACACCCGGCGTATGAAGTTGTAGACGACGTGGCACAGGCGCTGGCCTTCATCAAAGAGGACTTTGCTAAGATGCAGGCGGAGAAGAAGTAAATGAGGCTGAAGAATAGTAGGCTGTTGCCTAGATCTCCTAGAATTGGTGTCAAAGAGGATCTTATCTTTTGTGGTTACTGACATGTGAATTGCACAGTGACATGGTTTGTTTTCTCCAGATTTTTCCTATACATTGATCTTCACCGAAAATTAGACCGTCGAGCTCAGAATAATACGAGGGTATGTTGCTTGTATTGCACGTTCAGATCGATCGTGTCGCTGTTTAACTACAATATATTCAAGCAGAAGCTAAGCGCCAAGCGTGCAACTTTACCGGTGCCACGAGAAGACAGTTTTCATCGCTTTTTGAAACCTTGTTCAATTTTCCAGTGGGGAACGTCCTTAAAAAAAGAAACGATGCTGCATTCTGATGAACAAATTTTGATGAAAGCCCAATTTATCTTCTCCTAGACTAAACGATGGGACCCGGCTGGATTTCTACTTCAGCGATCTTCAAACGAACCTTCGCGGTTTAGAATTATGCAATCATTCCAGGAAGTAAAGTATATGTTTGATCTCATTATCACTCTTCAGGCTTATTTTTGTGTGACTGTAGCACTCAGCCCATTGCATGAGTGGAAGTGTCATAATATTACTCATTTTTCAGCTACATACTGTATTACTCCGACATCAAAACTACATGTAGATTATTAAAAACAGTACCTTATTATTCCGACATCAAAACTACATATAGATTATTAAAAAGTAGTACCTTTCCTATTCGTTTTTGCCAGGTTGCATTAATTCTGCCAGTGCTCTTGCTCTAAACACGAAACGGTCTCGGAAGCTCTCCATTTCGGTTCTCATCTTTGACGTGCTTTAGAGGATCGAAAGGTTTTCTGAGCCCACTGCAACGTCTATTTCTACTATTAAAGTGTCAGATTTGCAGCTTTATACAAATAATAGATGACGGCGTGAGCAAACCAGCGCTCGAATCGAAATTGCTTCGTTCTTCCGTATTCACAATTAAAAAAGAAATAGAATAGCTGGTTGGCGTGCGCGTTTTTACGACTTTCCTAATTGGATGAAGCAAAGCTACTTCGACACCAAAAAGCAGTTCAATGTCTTGAGAAATCGAGCTCAATGAGGTTGCCATACCAAGCTACTGATATCGACAGCACAAGTGCATGTTTTGCCGGATAGCCCAATCTTGAAGCGCGGCCAGAAATTCTTTTGAATGGTATCTCCTCTTTATCGTGTAGTTGTCTAGAAATAGTAATCTACGCGTAAGTGATGTCGATGCAGCTTCGCAGTTGTGCAGATCACGAACTCATCATGAATGCTGTATACATTTGCGCCAATGCTCCTTTACTGCTATGTACTCGGCTAAGTATCTCTGCGAGCAAGCGTACACTCAGGAGTAATGAACGCATTCTCG